TGTTTTTTGAAGAATTTGATATAAAAATTGTGCCAACAGTCTTAGCAATGAAGACTGGGGAAACATTCCGAGAGGGAGTGTTTCGGACAGGTGAGGCACTTTCATGGGTTTTAGATAGAGTGGTACTGACTCTTGTCTTGCATTGTGCGGTACTAGGAACACTTGATGGTCTTTTGAGTATCTTAGTGGGAACAAAGGAATTTTGTCTAGGTGCGGAAGAGCTAGGGTTCCGAGATACACTCTTTTTGGAGTTTTCAAGGAATCGAGAGTTTTTTCTGGACCTAAATTCCTTCTTGTGAGCATTTATTGCTTCCACTTTAGGATCTATGACATAATTATTATTGAGCATTGGTCTTTGCTTTGACTAAGATACAGACTTTGAGGTTTCACTTGTTGAAGGATTGTTAAACTTGGGATCAATGGGAACCAATGTTGTTTTTGAAACAACAAGCGATTCGGATTTACATGAATCAGAGGAGGCATCGCTTGAGGTTTCAACCTTATCATCAAAGGATGCCCATACAAACTTAGACGAAGTGGTTTCAGTAAGATTGGGAATGATTTCCTCAATAACACAGTTGTTGGGAGGATTGTTGTTCGGAATATGATCTATTCTATTGGATACACTATGATGAAATTCTGTGGTCCGATTCACATCCAGGTTTATCAGAGGCGGAAGAGGCGTGGAATCAGGACACTTAACAATGATATGTTGAAACTTAGGGATCAAAGATGCAAAGTGGTCATTTGTCTCAGGAAGGGGTGACAAAGGAGAAACAGGGGTGTCTAATGTTTGATGTTCGGAGCTTCTCCTAGAAAAGTCAGATTTTGCAATTCCTTCAGAGGACTAGTAATTGGTTGTGGAAACTCGCTTTCGAGGCCAGGTGCTTTAGACCATGGATGACGAAAATTATGAGTCATTCGTTCATTTGCTTCAAGCATGTCAATAGAATTGTGCAAAGCATCTATTTTAGAATTCAGACGTTTATTATCAAAAATTAAAACATTTATTTCGGAGTAGGTAATTTCATATTTGTCTTTCAAAATGATACATTGATCTTTTGACATTACAAGCTCTCATTCTAAAGACTCAATTTTTAACTTCTTATTCTCGAAACATAATCTAAGACGATTCAATTCGATATCCTTCTTCTCACTGGCTTCTATGGCTGACTCATAGGCTTTGTAAATTATTTTCATGTCCGATTGAATATGAGTTAGAAATGGTTCACAAATTCATAAATCAAAATTATTTTCAGTAACTAAGCTTTTTACTTGTTAAATGATGCTTCTTCCTGGAGGTTCGTTTGTTGCCATATAGCAGTAGTTCGGTTTAGCATCTTCATCATCTTTCTCAGATCCAGACGACCAATAACCATCTTCACATTCAACATCTTGTCTTGCCATCAAGCACATATTTCTTCCAATAATCATAGCATCATCATCATCTCCAGATGATCAGTAACCTTTAACATCTCTTGAAATAGTTGTTACAAAAGCTTTTTCACTTTTAGCCATTTCTTGAGCCTTTTAAATATAGTAGGCAGAATCCTTGATTTTTGGTTTCAGTTCAGAGTCAACTCGACAATCTTTTGCGAAGTGGTTTGCATGTCCATACTTGTGACACACAATTTTTGGTTTGTCCGAAATGGAATGCTGAGGGGATTCAGCAACAGAGTTTGATTTTGAGAGGTTTGGTTTGTATGCAGGAGGATTTTCAGAAGTTGGTTTAGGTTCTGGAGTTGAGTATGGTGGAGGATTGTTGTGGTGAGGAGCTTGGAATCTGTTTTGGTATGGTTTGAAGGAAGGGTTAAAAGGACGTTTGTATTTCATTGAAAGAAGAGCAAACTCCTGCTGGAAACGGAGTTCTGAGTCCATGGCTTCGGAGTCATCAATAGGATAGTTTTGAGATGGTATGGATGAATTAACCAGTGGAATAGTGGTTTTGAAAAGGTCTGAAGCAGAAGAATTCAAAATAGTTGGTTCGAAGGAACCGAGAAGAGAAAGAGGGCCTCTGGAAAGTTCCCTTATGGTTTGAGCAACATTTGAGTCGTGTCCTTGAAGTTCATCAAAAAGTTGATAGAGCTTTAACTTCTTCAAGGAACCATTACTTTGAAGACAAGATTTTTACATTTCCCCAGCCTTTGCCAAGACTGTTTATGAATTTGAGATTGTACTCCAGGGGAGTTCGGACAATCCCATGAGCAGTCATGTTATTGACCACTATTCGGCAACGGTTGGAGGCAGAGGCTACTGATTCACCAGGAGTGGTTGTGAAGGTGTCAAAGTGCATGGAAACTGAAGTAAGGCGCTTGTCTTTCATGTTATCTGAACCTCCAATTAGGTCCTGAAGAGTGTCCCAAATCTCTTTAGCTGATTTGCATAACTTGATGTGCTCGAAAAGTGAAGGAGGAACCCCAAACACCATTTCAGAGAAAGCAACTTGGTCTGCATGCAGCTTTTCAATGTCATCAGTAGTTAGAGGGGTTGGATGGTTTTCATCTTGACCCATAAGCTGAGCAGAAGCATCACTTACAATGGTTCTTACAGGAACATGAGGACCTTCTTTCAGTGATCTCCATATCTCTTCACCTTTATCTTTGGCTAACATAAATCTTTCCATTCTAACTTTCCAGTGATCATATTCTTCCACAACTAGTAATAGGGCACGTGTAGGGCCACCCATACTATTTGTGATTTTCATTAAAATCATCTGTTGAGGATTAGAAGCAGCCATTGAAGTTAAGATATCTTGAGCAAAAGTATATAGAAGAACTTTTATCCTTAACATAGAAATGGTTGAGATACCAAGGTATATGTAAACCAACTATAATCTGCTCTTATGGATTTAAAGGAAAACCACTCAAGCTCTGATACCATGTTGTCAAAAGCATGTTATCCCCATTTCAGAAAGGAAAAAGCATTCATCGTTGTGTTGAAATTCAAGGTACATGTTTGCTTGAACAACATTTGCACTTCTTGAATCATCAACCTGAACTGAATGATCAATCACAAGCTCTATTAGCACCTGGGAAATATGAAGATTTGAATGAATTAAAAATTGTTGATGCTTAAAAAAAATATGTGAAGTGGATAATTAGAATACTACTTACCAATGGGTTGATCTTTTTGGAGTCACCACTGAATCTGTTCATAGCATCTCATATGCAATCAAGGTCAACTACAGCTAGAATTCCAGTAAAATCCTAAGAAAATATCATGGATTATTATAAACAAACAAAGGAATGCAAAGTTGTATACTTTTAAGCCAATATACATTTATATTAAAGCAAAGCAACTAAATTTGGTTCATGACTTCAATCGAGCAACTTGCATGCACTTCAGATCACTAACACTTTGAATGCAAATTGACTATATTTTCACCGGAAGGGTCCATGTTAAAGATAACAACAATATTCATAAGGCCACACATGAAGGAAAAGAGCACTAAAATTTTATATTTTTACTAAAATGTTCTTCTTACTAAGAAACCTTCTAAACTCTAAGTAATTTCAATATCATGTACTATATTGAATTTGATAACTAACTTAGTATATGAACAAGCATATAATAAGAATATAGATTGTCAACTTAATTTTGGTAATGCAGAAAAAAAAGTGAAATATGATCTAATACATCTATTTAGGCAACTTCTGGTGGAAGAAAATCTCTAGATTAAGAAACTTAAACACAAATAAGCAGTATCTGTCACAATCAAAGAAGAATTCAAATCAAAATTGATGAAACTAACATAGTTTAAAAATCTTCAGTTTTTGCACATCATTCCCTTACTCTCAACCTTTGAACATATCAGAGTAATTCATAGGTCACTAGATTGAAAGTCGTCATTGATTGTAGGATATCTTCATTGTATAAATTTAGATGAAGAATAACACATATCAGTGAACTCTTTCTGGTTAAAAAAAATCAGTGAACTCTTAATAAAACCTAGTGAAGACCTGATGCAACAACTGATGGTAAACAAAGTTTCTGATTAAGAGATTCAAATCAATCGGTGATGCAATTGATTTTTGGGGAAAACATCATAAAATATCAAAGTTTGAAGGAAACGGATTTTGAGCGTATTTGCTTCCCTAGGAAATTAATTTTTTATATCATATATCAAATAAAACTCAAGCTTTTACTTTACTTGTTGAGCAAAGTTCCACCAAAATACAACCAGCACTCCATTTATCACATAGATAACTCTATACATGCCATGTATATCAATACAAAGGTAAGAATACCAGCATGATTAAAGAGGGGTTGAGAGATATATGTTTTGGATGCAGAAAACATTATTAAAGAAATATTGAATGATCACTTTTTAGTTGTTGATGAAAAATGATGTAATAATCATAAAGTTTTTCCAATGAGGTGTTAATTAGAAAACAATTACATTAACAAGTTCATGAAAAAAAAGAATAGTGTTGACACAAAAAATATATATATTTAATTTACATGCTTACGGTAAAAGAGGAACATGAATGTAAATTTTACAATCATATGAATTCGTTAGCTTCAAGTAATATTGATTATCTAACAAAATTGTTATAATAAAACCAACAAACAAGTATTTAAACCAAATCCTAATTCATCTAATAGCAATTGTTCATCGATTAAGCACTTTTTTATTAGACAAAAATAAAAAGCCACTATCGATGAATGGAATCAAATTAAATCAAAAGGTATTATAAATAAACAAAATCAAATTATATTAAAATTTTACATCGTTCATGAATTTTGAGGGATAAAACATCCATTATTCATCGATTAAGAAAATTTTGATAAAATTAAAATAAAACATTATCGGTATGTCGGGAAGGAGATGATACATCACTATAGGATCCAATGTCATAGAAGAAGGATATTGAGGGGAAACACCATAAACAAATATTCAATCGACAGAGGATTGTCTTCTCTAATTGGATATTTGATCAGATGTATTATCGACGGGGGCACTACTCCGTTCAAATCTTCAATCGACAGAGCAAAACAAAATGAGATCAACGATGGCAGTGTACTCCGGTGAACTGAAGATGTAGATGTGTGACAACGTGAGAGATAGATAATGAGAGAAAGATAGATCTGGTGAGGAATAAAGAGAGAGAGAGAGAGAGAGAGAGAGAGAGAGAGAGAGAAAGTATGGGTTTTTAATAATTATATTAATTAAGCTAATTATTAATTACTAGGCAATAATAAATTTCATTCCCAATATACCCCGCTAATTATTTCTAAAATGTCTAAAGATACCATTGGAGTTGTTGATAATTACACATATGTCATCGTTGATCACGGTCATTAAAAGTTTTGATCTAATGCTCCATTTTTAGTTCTTGTGAAACTATAAGTTCTCATATATATATATATATATATATATATATATATATATATATATAGAGAGAGAGAGAGAGAGAGAATGGTTCAAATGAGAACCAAAAAAGATTAAGAGCCTAAGAACCAATTAATTTTAGCTTATAATTAACAACCATAAGAACATTTTATCTATAAAGCAATATTAAGTTTTTTATTATATTAACTAAATATGTTATTTTTGTCAATTTTAAATTTTTCATTATCTTGTCTGTAAGGGTATTTTCGTAATTAACAAAATCAAGCAAAAAGCAAATCTTTTCCACAGTACGTCAAGATTCTTTCGTTCAGATTCCTCAAACAATATTGCTTATTCATATTTCGTGACCTTCGATTTATATAGAATCGATTGATTATGTTCGATTTTCATATATATAACGAGTTTGTATGGAATTGTTAACTGAAGAATCATCGTCTTCTAAGTAGGATCCGATGTCTGTTCAAAGCATATCAGGAACAGATGAATTGAATGTTTAATCTTTAGCTCAATCTGATTACGATATTGCAACGGAAGGTGAATCAAAAGTAGGTATCTCATCTTCTAAGTTGGATCCGATGTCTGTTCAAAGCATATCAGGACCAGATGAATTGAATGTTCAATCTTTAGCTCAATCTGATTACAATATTGCAATGGAAGGTGAATCAGAAGCAGGTATCTCGTTTCCTTCTGTCTGTTACTAATTTAATCCGTTTTTAATTCCTATACATTAAAAAGTTACTTACGTAGTTGAATATGATGTTCGATCCGTTATTAAGATGTGAATTGATTTCCTTCTGTGAAATTTCAGTTGTTTTTTATTTATAATATTTGTATTTTTACAAATACTGTGAAATATAGTTTAGTTATGTACTTGTTTTCACATGTAAATGTCTGAAATAGAGTTTTTATTTGTTAATTTTATTTATTATTTCCAATTAAACTGTGAATTCTCCTTTTTTTTATTTATAATATTTGTATTTATAATTACAATCTTCTAACTGTTATTAGCCTGTGAATGTATTTGGTTATGTATAATATAAATGTAATTATAGTGTGAATTTTCAATTCTTTTTGTTCATATATTACAATATGTGTCTTTTAAGCCTAATATATGTTTTTATTTTTCTTATTAGGTCAAGATAGATTTTCTGAATTTTTCTCTCCTGGTGGAACTCGTAAAATATGGATTCCTGAGGATGTTGATGATGTTAAACCAAAGTTGTTTAGCAATTAAACTGTGAATTCTCCTTTTTTTTGTTTTTTATTTATAATATTTGTATTTATAATTACAATCTTCTAACTGTTATTAACCTGTGAATGTATTTGGTTATGTATAATATAAATGTAATTATACTGTGAATTTTCAATTCTTTTTGTTCATATATTACAATATGTGTCTTTTAAGCCTGATGTATGTTTTTATTTTTCTTATTACGTCAAGATAGATTTTCTGAATTTTTCTCTCTTGGTGGAACTCGTAAAATATGGATTCCTGAGGATGTTAATGATGTTAAACCAAAGTTGTTTAGCAAATATCTGAGTATTGAAGATGCGATGGATATGTATAGGGCTTACGCTGCTAAAGATGGTTTTGATGTAAGAAAAGGTTCTACAAAGATACACACTAAGTCATGTGTTCTTACTCATCGATCTATGATGTGCAATAGAGAGGGATTTCCTCAAACTGTGTATGTGGACACAACTGATTTAAAAAATAATAAACCTCACAGAAATTCGAATATTAAAAGGAAAAGATGTCCAACTTTTGCAAAATTTAGAAGAGTAGGAAATTCAGATGTTTTTGAGCTATACAAATTTGAAGAAAGACATAATCATGATTTGGTTGCAAAAGATTATAGGCATTTCTTGAGGTCTAATAGGCAATTGGACAACACTGCTCAAGAATTCATTGAAAAGATGGCAAGGGTAAAAATTGGTCCAATGAAAGCATACAAAATAATGCAAGAGCTAAAAGGGGCAAACAATGTTGGAGGGACTGTTGATGACTACAAGAATCAGTCTAGAAAGTGAATTGTTTTATTGAAAAGGATGATGCACAAATGGTAGTTGATAAGTATTTGCATAGAATGAAAGACGATCCTACTCTTACATTTGAGTTTATATGTGAGAAAGGAAAGTTAGTTTCACTTTTTTGGGTTGATGAAGCTGCAAAGGCGAAAGATAGAGAATTTGGTGATGTTGTTTCTTTTGATGCTACTTTTCGGACGAACAAGTAAGTTTTTTTATATTTTGTTTTATTATATTATTTTCTTTTGTTGTTTTTATACTAACTTTTTATATATATTTATTTTTTAGATATCGTATGGTATTTGTTCCTTTCACATGAACCGATAACCATAGAAAGAGTGTTACTTTTGTAATTGGTCTTTTGAGTAGTGAAACTACAGAATCTTATGTTTGGCTGCTTAAAACTTTTTTGAAGACTTTTGGTAAACAGCCTACTGTAGTTCTCACTGATGAAGATGCTGCAATGAAAATTGCAATTGAGAGAATATTGCATGATTCACATCACAGGTTATGTAAGTGGCACATAACCCAAAAGTTTCCTTCTAAGGTATATAATTTTAATTTTTGGAACATTTATTTCTTGGGAATTTTTATGTTTTTTTATTTATGATTTGAATTTTGTTAGATTATATTATTTTTACATCACTTTTCATTATGTTATTTATTATGTTTTATTAAGTTGTGAATTTTTTCTTTAGGTATGTGCTGAACTTGCTGATGATATGAAATTCAAGAAACGTTTCAATAAGCTGATTTGGAATTCTAGGATAGATGCTTCTGAGTTTAATATTAGATGGAGAAGTTTTATTGAAGATTATAAGCTCCAAGAGATTTCATGGTTTTCAAAAATGTTTCATATGAGAGAAAGTTGGATTCCATCATATTTTAGAGACATGCCATTGTCTGGTTTAATGAGGACCACTTCTAGGTCAGAAAGCATGAATTCTTCATTCAACAAAATTTCTCACTGGGGTAATTCATTAGTTAAATTCTTCACTTCTTTTGATTCAGCTATGGACATGCAAAGACATAATCAATGTTACTTAGAGCATCTTAGCAATATTTCTAAGATTAAAAGTAAAATTTCACTAAAAATCATGGAACATGCTGCTGATATCTATACTAATGAAGTCTTCGTAAAAGTGAAGAAAGAAATTGAACAATCTCTATTTTCATGTTCACAATATAGTGTTACGAATGAAGAATTTTATGATAGATTTGTTGTTATGCAATATAAAGATATTATGGGGTCTACTGCAACAGTTGTTAATGAAGAAGATTCAGAAAGTGAATGTGATGTTCCAGAAAAGACTTATTTTTTCAAGGTAAATTATATATATATATATATATATATATATATATATATATATATATATATATATATATATATATAATTTACACTTAAGTTGTGAATAATTAATATTTTTGTTTCTTTTTATTTCTCACAGGTTGTTTATGACAAGAAGGAATCAAGTTTTGAATGCTCTTGTTCATTGTTCTTTTAGAATGGTATATTATGCAGGAATATATTTTGCATTTTTACGACTTACCAAATAAACAAGATTCCTTCAAAGTACATTCTTAGTCGTTGGTGCAAAGGTGTTATTCCATCTGAGGTTCTAATGAAGCAATGTTCAAATGATGAGACCTCGCCATCATCATCATTGTTATATGATCCTCTTTCTCGTTAGGTTTTGAGTTTTGTGGAAGAAAGTGTGTCTAGTTTGAGTAAAGATGCGGATAAGCTTAAGGAGATTTTTGAGCTTATTAAAGAAGCAAAGTTGAAAGTTGATGGTGTTTGTTCTACGTCAATCTCTTCAAATTCATTGTTGAAAAGAAAAGATATTTCTTATTTTATTGAGTCGTCCTATGGAGTGAAGAAGCCATCTATTTCTGATATTGGGAATCCTTCAGATGACATAAGTAATAAAGGATGTGGCACAGGTAAGAGGTTCAAAGGAGCTAGAGAAAAAGTCATTACTCAATCAGTTAAACAAAAAAGGTTTTGTTCCAGGTGCAAACAATATGTTAGTGGTCACAATAGTAGGTCATGTGAGCGTTTGGAAAGAGAATCAAAAGAAAAAGAAATGTGTAAATATGGCAAAAATATGGATGCAGGATCTATTTGAGAGATTTTGAAGATTTTTATGTTTTAGTTTTTAGTTTTTACTTGATAATGGTTTCTTTATACATATTATATAACATTTTTATCGTTTTGAATTGAATAGTATTTGTTTTGTACTCATAATTTTATTGTTAAGTTTGATATTACTAATATCTATGATTATTAATATTATATAAATATATTATATAAAAAAAGGAGAATTCACAGTTTAATTGGAAATAAAAATAAAATTAACAAATAAAAACTCTATTTCAGACATTTACATGTGAAAACAAGTACATAAATAACCAAAACCAGATTATAATAACAGTTACAACATCATATTTACAAATATTTATAAATATAAAAAAAAAAAAAAAAAAAAACTCTTTCTGACACTTACATGTGAAAACAAGTACATAAATAAACAAATTCAGATTATAATAACAGTTACAACACAAATTTACATTTAAAAAACTATTTATCATATTAGAAGACACATATTATAATATATGAACAAAAACAATTGAAAATTCACAGTATAATTACATTTATATTATACATAACCAAATACATTCACAGGTTAATAACAGTTAGAAGCTTGTAATTATACTTAAAAAAATTATCAACAAAAAATACAAATATTATAAATAAAAAACAGAAAAAAAAAAAGGAAAATTCACAATTTAATTGGAAACAAAAAATAAAATTAACAAATAAAAACTCTATTTCAGAAATTTACATGTAAAAACAACTACATAACTAAACAAAATCAGATTATAATAACAGTTACAACATCATATTTACAGTTAAAAACTATTTATCATATTAAAATTTTAAAAATTCAATTCACAACTTAATATTTTAGTTATTTTGTTTTAATTTAAATATTCACAATTGTAAACATCAACAATTAACTAGAAATTCATATTTTTAGATAATAAAATGTAACTCCAACATGTTAACCAAGTATGAAACATTATCCATAATAAAAACATCATTAACACGATATTTGTTCAACTAGATAGAAGTCTTCAATAGCAAATAAACATTTATAAACATAATAAGAGTAGACATATATTATTTAGTCTTGACCAAACAGCTGAAACCTTTCTTCATAGTTCTCCATTGCATGATTCACAACTTGTTTTTATTCTTCTTTTGTCAGTTTTTCAAACTCAAGACCTTCTTTTATTATCTTGTTGATGTGGATGTTGATATCATTCACCAAGATCTTTGTAAAATATTTTGATCGAAGCTTTGTCAATTGTTTTTTCTACTGCTTTTGATCTTTTTCAATCTCAGAATTCCAGTTATTTGGTCCTTGTCCTTTGAAATTTTCCATATGTCTCATCAACATAACTCCACTGTCATTCATGTTGTTTTCTGTCCACCACTTCAGTTTAAAAATTGCAACTTTCTTCTTCATTAAATTGTCTGCAACTGGATGTTTTTTTCAATCAATTATGACACCACCATATTGAACTGTATTCAAAAAATTTATCAGCAACACTAATAACATATAAAATCCACAGTTAAAAGTTAATAAACAACATTTGACTTTTTTTGCTAAGTTATTAATTATACTCAATAAATTATATGGCAATATTCCATAAGTATCCACAATATCTTCTGTGTTTTGTCATTGTTAATCAGATGTACACTACATTTTTGCTAATTGAAACAAATCATGTAGCTTTCTGTGCAGTATTGGGAAGAATACATGCGTTAATAGTATAGTTGAAAATGTTAATACTTTAATATGAATATTTGTATATATATTATATAATTATAATAAAAAGTAATAATTAGATTTTTTTTTCTTACAATTCCAACTTTCTTTAAATCCTTCAGATGTGGGTAGTTCTTCGTGGCTTCATTCATACTTTCTTCAAAATTTTCCAATCTCTTATCATATGGTGTATTCCTATCCAACATTTCATTGGTCTAGAAAAAAATGAAATGTTATTTTATGGAATTATCATTAGTTATTTCAAATCAATATTAAAATTATATGCTTATATAATAAAATAATTCTTACCAACATTCTTGTTGGGAAGTAGAAGCATAATGGTGTGGTATTTGCTTTACGCTTCTCTTCATTATTCAACAACATCGACCAACAGTCGATTACTTTTGGGTGGATCCATGCACTTGGTATTAATGTTTCAAAAATATCATTTCCACTTTATACTCATCCTTTGTTTCAAATATTATTTCCCTGTTTGATTAATTTAAAATTATTAAGTTGTCAATATTAAGTTGTGAAATAGTTATATTGGTGTTTGTCTTTATCAAACACAAAATAAAAATAGTTAAACAAAAAATTTTAGTTTTTTTAATATTTACATACTATTCACAACTTCATATTCAAATTTAATTAACTTCTTTAAATACTAGTTATATTAAAACCATTCACTTACTTGCCATCCTTTTGCAGTGAGAATATGGATTTTGAAATCCTTGTCTCAACAGCTTCTAACTTTTTTCTCACTTCAACTGTTCGTCTCATGTAAGGTGATTGGTAAGGTTCTGTTTTAGTTGTTGTCCTCTTTGATCTTGTATAAACTTCTTTTTTTTCCTTTTTCCTTGATCATCCTTTTCTTCAAGTATGTTTTTTTCATTTCCCTTTTCTTCTTTATTGTTTGTTATTCCTGTAACATGTATTGCATAGTAGTCATTTTAATTAAAAACATAATTTTTTTTAATTTATATTTTTGTTTTTCATATTACATTCTCCTTGAAATTCATTGGTAAGAAAATCATTTTGTTCATCCTCCATATTTGGTGTCTTTGGCATATTATCTTCAAAGATTGGATTATTGTATTCTCTTTCTCTTGTACCTTCTTCTTCATCTGTCTCATTTTCATTTTCTTTTCTTCTTGATGATTCAACAATGTTTTCATTCAACACTTTTTCAAATTCTCTTTCGCTTGTAGCTTCTTCTTCACCTGTCTCATTTTCATTTTCTTTTTCTTTGGTTCTTGATGATTCGACAACGTTTTTGTTCAACACTTTTTCAAAGTTCACAAACCTTTCAAACCATCCACATAGTTCTCTAGCATCTGGATATTTTTGAAGTGCATGTTCCAATGTTTTTTCAATTCTGTTTCTACACTCCAAAATGGTTTTAGACTCACTTTCTACCAAAAGACAATAGTTCTACAATAAGTGTTAAATTATTGTTAGTTTATAGGTACATTTAAAAAAAATCACAACTTAATATTCAGTTCACAGCTTAATTTAGTAATATCCATTATTACCTCTGCACCAATGTCATCATTTTCTTCTGTATCTATATCTTTTTCAACTTGTTTTCCTTTTCTTTTTTCATTAACAAATTCAACATCTTCTTCATCTTTGAATTGTATCGAATCAATATCCTCAACCAATGTGACCAATCCTAACTGACCTTGAGCCTTTTCAATGTTTTGTCTTGATTTAATTTTTCCATAATTCCAGTAGCATATTGGTCTTATTTTTCGGTTGACGTATTGGTTTTGGCAATCAGTTAAATGTAGATAGAGAAGCTGTAAATTATTTTGTAACAAATTAAAATGTTATTTAATTTAATCAATTTGATGATATGTAATGCAATTTTATTTAAATTTTACTTACTAGCAAGAATGGAAATGGCTCAGCATAGTAAACGCCTTTGTTTCTTGGTTTACATGAAGTCCTACTATGTAGCAATGCATCACTAAGATATTTGCACCAGTTTATATTTTTCCAGTCTTCAATTGCTGCAATCTTCATTGTAGTGTTTGTTTGTAAACCTCCACAGGCTTTTTTTCTCTATCATTGTATTGACAAACAATGTGATGAAATTTAACACAAACATTTCATCTGCAACTTCAAACACTTCTATAAGTTCACAAAGAGTTTGTTGTGATTTTGTTACATTAGGATGTTGTTGTTTCCATTCGACAATAATCTCATTATTCCTCACACTCATTCACAGTAGACAAATATATTCCTGTTTTTGGTAAACCAAGAATCTGATGAATTTTTTCTTCATTTATCATCAGTTGTATGTCCCCTAAATCAATGCAGTTTGAAGTAGGGTTATATCTCTCAACAACAAAATGTGCTATAAATGATGGAATTGTATCAAGTGATGTTTCAGAGATTACCTTGAAACCCAATCATTCTAAACATTCTTTATGTTCCCTACTTAGAGTTTTAACAGTAGTGTACAATGATTTTGTTGTCACTCTTGTTATTAATGGAGGGAAGTTTTCATCATTATTATCATCATCTTGTTTATCTTTCTTCTTTCTACTTCTTTTCTTTGTTGGTTTTGCTAATAAGATAAAAAAAATTAAAAAAAAATAAAAAAAAAGTATTCTCAAAAACATTTTATATAATATTTTAATTAATTAATATATATATATATATATATATATATATATATATATATATATATATATATATATATATGTATATATATATGTATATATGTTAATACCTTCAGTTTCATCTTCTGTACTATCAACATCTCTTTAATTTTCTTCTTTCTCCCTCTTTTCTTTATTGGTTTTGCTAATAAGATTCAAAAAAAATTATTAAAAACTTTATATATATATATATATATATATATATATATATATATATATATATATGTTAGTACCTTCAATTTTATCTTCTCTGCTATCACCATCTTCTTTAATTTTCTTCCGTCTACCTCTTTTTTCTGTTGGTTTTCCTAATAAGATAAAACAAATGTTATTAAACTGTGAATATATTTATCTATGTATGTATGTAGATACATACATTTAAAGTGTGAACATATATATGTATATATGTAAATACATAAATATGTACATATATACATATATACGTATGTGTATGCATATACATAAGTATATTCACACTTTGACTGTAACCGCATAATGTGTTCTCACACTTTAATATATATATATATATATATATATATATATATATATATATATATATATATATATGTTAATACCTTCAATTTCATCTTCTGTGGTATCACAATCTTCTTTCATTTTCTTCCTTCAATCTATTTTCTTTGTTGCTTTTGCTAATAAAATAAAAAAAAAGTGTTATTAAATTGTGAATATATATATATATATATAGACTTAAACTGTGAATATATTTATCTATGTATGTATGTAGATAAATACATTCAAAGTGTGAACATATATATGTATATATGTATGTATATATGTAAATACATAAATATGTACATATATATGTATGTGTATGCATATACATAAGTATATTCACACTTTAACTGTAACTGCATAATGTGTTCTCACAATTATATATATATATATATATATATATATATGTGTGTGTGTGTGTGTGTGTGTGTGTGTGTGTGTGTGTGTGTATATATATATATATGTTAATACCTTCAATTTCATCTTCTGTGGTATCACCATCTTCTTTCTACCTCTTTTCTTTATTGCTGTTCCTAATAAGATTAAAAAGAAATTATTATTAAAAATCTTTTATACATACATGTGTTTCTTTTCCTTGTATATTTTTGAACTATAAAACACATAAAATTTTTAATAACATTTAATAAGATATTTTATCAATAAATATTTTTTTTATGAATTTTGTTATACCTTGTATTTCTTCATCTTCCTTGGCAGATGTTTGAGACCTTCTTCTTTTTCCTGTTAGTTGCATCTCCTTTCCACTTCTCTTTCTTGCTATCTATTTTCTTTTTTTTTTCCTTCTTTTGCATGAATGTTTTCATTATTTGCATCTCCTTCTTTTTTGTTTACCACAACCAATTGCAAATTCATGTCCTTATCACTGTCTGATGATCCATTTTCCGATTCTGCAATTTATATATATATATATATATATATATATATATATATATATATATATATATATATATATATATATATATTTACATATATACATACATACATATGTAAACATACATATGTACATAGAATTTAAACTGTGAATTTACTTATGGATGTATTTATGTATGTATGTAGATACATACATTTAAAGTGTGATTATACATATGTATGCATGTATATACATACATAAATATGTATATAAATACATATGTACAAATTTGTGTAAATACATAATTATGTACATATATACATATATATACGTATGTGTATGCATATACATAAGTATATTCACACTTTAACTTATATAAATACATAATATGTTTTCATAGTTTAATATATATATATATATATATATATATATATATATATATATATATATATATATATATATATACCTTCAATTTCATCTTCTGTGGTATCACAATCTTCTTTCGTTTTCTTCTTTCTACCTCTTTTCTTTGTTGCTTTTGCTAATAACATTAAAAATAAATTGTTATTAAAAATCTTTTATACATACATGTGTTTCTTTTCCTTGTAATAAGATTAAAAAGAAATTGTTATTAAAAATTTTAATAACATTTAATAAGATATTTTATCAACAAATATTCTTTTATGAATTTTGTTATAACTTGTATTTCTTCATCTTTCTTGGCGGATGTTTGAGACCTTGTTCTTCTTCCTGTTAGTTGCATCTCCTTACCACTTCTCGTTCTTGTTATCTGTTTTCTTTTCTTTGCTTCTTTTGCATGAATGTTTTCATTATTTGCATCTCCTTCTTTTTTGTTTACCACAACCAATTGCAAATTCATGTCCTTATCACTGTCTGATGATCCATTTTTCGATTCTGCAATTTATATATATATATATATATATATATATATATATATATATATATATATATGTATATTTACATATATACATACATACATATGTAAACATGCACATGTGTGTTCATATTCATACATATGTACATAGACTTTAAACTGTGAATTTACTTATAGATGTATTTAAGTATGTATGTAGATACATACATTTAAAGTGTGTAAATACATAAATATGTACATATATTCATATATACGTATGTGTATGCATATACATAAGTATATTCACACTTTAAATGTAAGTGCATAATGTGTATTCACAGTTTAATATATTATGTATATTTTCATATTTTAATTTTTATTTTACCTTTTTTTTCCATTTCTTCAGTTCTTTAAAGATCACATAATATGTTGTGAATTTGTGTATTCACATCTGTTTCTGTTATTAAATTAAAAATCAAAACCAAAAAGTTTATATAGTAGAATATTATTATAATTCAAATATTTTTTATAATCATGTGTTACCTTCCACTGTAGAATGTTTCTTTGTTTCTTTCTAATCAATAGATATTCCTTTAAGGTTTCTGATAGTATTCTTTGTCATTACAGGTCTTGTATTCTCTCCTGCAAATGGCATATCTCCATTAAAATTCACAGTTTAATGTTTGATGTATATAGTCAAATACTAATAGGAGTCATCATTAATATTTATCTTCCGGTAATATATTTAAGTAACATATAATTTTTACATTCACATTCTAAAAAAACATATATATGGATTTTCATTTTCTAAAATATCAAAATAACATTTATGTTTATATTCACAGTTTAACAATTATTTATAGTAAATATAACAGTATCAACTTGAAATATATTAGAATCATTTATAACATTTACCATCAAACCTATATTAAAATCATTTATGTACATATTTTTGTGATAAATCATATCTGAGTTTGTAATGATATGTTAACTGTTAAACTTATTATATATATATAATAAATAACGTGGATTAAGATGACCTTTGATTTAAAAGTTTTTGTAACAATGTTTTATATATATATATATATATATATATATATATATATATATATATATATATATATATATATTAACATTATAAGACATTATACATTTTTCGTTAAACATTGTAATAAATTTTGAAATAAAATACCTTGTGTTACTTCGTTCATTTTGACTCTGATCGTCCATTTAGGTTTTCCTTTTGAAGAAATGCTTTCCGAAACACTTTGTTTTTCCATTTCGACCTTATTGATTGTCTGATGTTCTGACTTTGTTGTCGAAATCTTCGATTTGGGACTTGAAACTTTTTTTGCCTCTACTTGTTTCTCCAGGGTTTTCTTTTTTATTTCTTCTTCGGATGTTGTTTTTTCAGAAGAACTTGTAGTTGATGTAGTTCCTTTAGATTTTGAAGACATTTTCTGCTTGATTTTTGAAGAATCGGTGGATTTTTTAGATTCGGTGTTTAAAATGGAGATTTGTGTATGTCGGGGTTTTTTTTTGAAAAAGGGAAAATCAGGAGAATGATATGAAATGAATGAGCCAAGTCATTTTTTGACGAATTTATATGACGAGAAGTACTTAATAATTACAAAACTGTCACCGCCTTTCGTTTGTTTTTCTATTATTATATATATAGCCCCTGTCTTATTTAAAGTGTGAATATATGCATGAGAGTTTTTTGTTACTTTCTTAATTACCTAAATTGTTAAAATAATAAAAATTTTGTTTTATTTACAAAAGTGTCACAGATCATTTATTAATATAATAATTTGGATTATTTTTGTTTTAACATAACTTGAATATTGACATTCTATTTTTTAACAATTATTTAGCATAACTTTTATTATTTCTTCATTTTTGTACTTTTATTTTATTTTTATTTTTTTTTCATTTTTTATTTTTCCTAATTATATCTTTTGAATTAATTTTTTTAAGTACTTGTTTCAAATATTTTAAGTATTACAGTAAAAATAATAATATATACATATATCTTTATATACATATTTATGTATGTACATACATGCATACATATATACAAATGTATAGTAACACTTTAAATATATGTATCTACATACATACATAAATACATAAATAAGTAAATTCACAGTTTAAAATTAATTTATACATTGTTCATAAATACATAAATGTATGTATCTACATACATACATATTTAAATTCACAGTTTTATATTAATATATACATTGTTCATAAATAAATTCACAGTTGAAAATTAAATGTATGTATCTACTTACATATGTAAATACATACATAAAAATAATAATATATACATTTTCATTAAATTCTTGAACTTATATCTAAAAAACGCATTTGTTTATACATTATTTAATTTTTTATATTAAACATTGATATTTCATTATAAATTCTAATATTTATAGTTATATAATGTTGAAATTATCATATATCTAAACAGTAGAATCATCAATACCCATAACTAAAAAAAATCTTTTTGTACAAAAAAAAAGAAAAAAAAACACACACACACACACAAAATAAAAATCAAATTCTTCTGAAAATAAAAGGTACATAAATCATTGTAGTCTTCTTTGTGCCTTTTTTTATTTTAAATTTCTAAACATGTTCCATGAGCTTAAATCTTTCTTTATACTTCTGCATTGCATTCTTCAACAATGTGTTTTTCTCTTCCTCTATTTTTTTATCAAATTGTATTCCTTGAAAACTATTTCTTTTCTATTTAAGTTGATGTCATTCAGCAGCAGATCAGTCATTTTTATAATTCACAGTTTAATTTCAAATAAAGCTAAAATAGTAATTCTTACCAAAGATTGTGGTAATATCTCATATTCAACATTAACATTTGGCATTCCTTTATGATTATCAATCAAAACTACTGATAGCTTTTTGATATTTATACATAACAAATAGTAATGCATTTTCTTCTTTATTGGAAAGAATAGTTGCATTGTAAAAGTAAGAATAAAAAACTTTTAGTATATATATATATATATATATATATATATATATATATATATATATATATATATATATAAGATTGTTGTAACTTATAAATTCTAGTTTATCAAAAACTTGTGCATATGGATGGAATTTCATTGCTTCTGTTGCTTTTGGATCAAACATTTTACATCTGTCATCCATTGGTATCTCCTCATTTGTCATCTCTTCAGTCTAATTACATATATTACATACTTTTATTCTGTTGCAATTTTCTTAATCTATTAACATATATAAATACATAATATAAATGTTACTTACTATAATTCCTATTGGAAAATAGAATCTTAATTGAGATCCCTTTTGTTTTCTGCTCTCCTCATCATTTAACAGTATAGACCAGCAATCAATGACTTTGTGGTGTATGTACACATCTGGGATTAACGTTTCAAAAAATATTCTTTCTACTGCATCCCCATTTCTTGTTCTGAATATGATTTCCCTGTTAATATATATTAAGTTGTGAATCTTCTAATATAATTTTTGTTTCATAAATTAATTTTAATTAACTTTTTATTAAAAATATTTACTTACTTGTGGTTCCTTTGCATTTAAAATATTGAGTTTGCAATTAATTTCTCTTCAGTAAATAACACATCTTTTGCTTCCACTGTTCGATCACTGTAATGAGTGAAGTAACTTTCTTCTTTTTCTTTTCTGATGCTTTTTTCTTCATGTTTCTCTTCAATAAAAATTGCTTTTCCTTTCCCTTTATTTCCACATTCTTTTTTTGTTTGAATTTGTTCTTCATCTTTTTTTTCTTCTCTGTTTATCTGTTCTTCATCTTTTTTTTCTTCTCTGTTTATATGTTCTTCATCTTTGCTTGATCTTGTATAAGGTTTTGGAGAGTTTACATCATCTTTGATATCTGGGGTTATTCCAAGAGAAAAAGATGGTTGAGAAGACAGCTTTTGAATAAGTGATGTGCAAGTTGAAGCATTTTTCTTTAAGCTTTCTTCAACAACTTTGTCAACCATAGCATAAATTGTTGGTGGTGTGAAAGCTGATGATTTTGGAGTAGATTGAGAATCAGCAAGTGATGTTTTTTGAGTTGTATCGAATTTGTCTCCTTCTTCAGTTTCTTCCTGTGTTGATGTTGTTTGATACAAAATCATTTCTTGATGTTGTTATGCATCCACTGTGTTTTCAACTTCAGTGTGTTGTACTTGATTATCTTTCGGTATATACAAAACTATTGCCTTTTTAAATGCAATATCATTTGTCATATTTTGATCTTCTGATTCTTCTATTTCCTTTTCAACTTGAACTTCATTTTCATTCACTTTTGATGTTTCACCAATATGCTTATTGAATAAATTCTTATATTTCACAATCCATCTTTTGATTTTTATGTTATCCGGATGATTTTTTTTGCCTTCACTAATGTCTTTTCCATTCTCTTCTTGAAAGCTAATGCCATTTTGTAATCTTTTTCTATCATGAAGCAAAATCCCTGTAGTGTATTTTTTTTTGTTAGTTTAATATAAAGATTTCAATTAAACTATGAAATTCAGATGTAATTCAAACTTTATATAAACATGTGTTAAGTTTTATATTCACATATTAATGATTAATTTTTCTATATTATTATTTTTAAACTTTTTTTTATCATCAAGCAAAATCCCTGTGGTGTATGTATTTTGTTATGTCATTATCAAAATAAAGATAGTAATATTTTATTTTATTATATTCACAACTTAACATCGAATTCACAGTTTAATTAATAATGTCTTTTCATGTGTTATGTTTTATATCTAAATGTTAAAATTATATTCGTAGTTTATTAATATTTTATAAGTTGTATTACCTCCAAACCAATATCCTCATTGTCATCTAAATCTGAAAAATCCTCTACATTCTTTTCATTATCTTCCTCATCCAAATCAACATCTTCTTCTTCATCCTCTTGAAGCATCACCATATTGTCCAAAATTTGTACCATTCCAAAATTTCCATTTGCAATTTCATTTGTTTGTCTTGTTTTCAGTCTCCCATAATTCCAGGAGTGAAGTGGTATTATTCTTCTGTTAATAAACTGTTGTTTAACACATTGAGTTCTATGCACACACAGAAGCTGTAAGATACATGAAAACAATATAAGTTTGATTAACATTAGTATTAAATATTTTATTTTATGAAAAATTAATTTAGTTTAAATTATTCTTACAATTAGAAATGGTAATGGTCCAGTATAGTAGTTGTTTTTACAATTTGACTTCCAAATTTTTTTACTTTTAACCAATGTGTGATTGATGTACTTGCACCAGTTGATATTTTCTTTGCTCTCAACTTCAGCAAAGATCTTGTTTCTATGGCTCCAGATGTTGTTTTCTCTATGATTGAGTTGACAAAAAGTACAATGAAGTTCAGCACAAACATCTCATCTGCAGGTTGCGATTGTTCTATTAGATCTACTAGTACTTGAGTGGACTTTGTAATTTTTGGATGTTGTTCTTTCCATTTAATCAATGTGTTGTTATCTTGTTCACATTCATCAACTGTTTCAAGATCAATGCCTTCATGTTTTAAGCCAAGAATTTCTCCTATTGTTTTCTCTGTTATTGCTATTCTTCCATGTCCTAGGTCAATGGAGTTTGTTCTATGGTTGTAGCTAACCACAGAAAAGAAGCCTATTTTTTAAGGAATCACATCCAATGTCATCTTTAAAACAGATCTTAAGCCTAAGTTTTCTACACACGCTCTCTGTTCAGTGCTCAATATCTTTACAGCTTTCCATAAGCTTTGTGTTGCAACCCTTGTTCTTAATGGTTGAAACTTCTCATCATCTTCTTCATGATCTGTTTTAGCTTTTTTGTTTTTCTTTTTTATTGTTTGCTTTGCTTTCCGTTTCTTTCCTTTTTTCTTTGTAAAAAATTTCATTACGTAATGATAAGGAACTATTATATGAGAAATAAAATAATTAATGAATTATTTGTATATAGTTTTAAAATGTACCTTGAATTTTTTGTTCTTTTTCCTTTTTCTTCATTTTCTGCTTTTTCTTCTTGTCAACAACTTTATCTTCTTCAAAATTCAAAAGTTAACAAAAAATTCACAGTTTAATCATGAAAATATAATTAAGAAACTTTTTATATTGTACCTTGATTTTTTTGATGTATGTTGTTAGGTGTTTCCAACCTTGTTTGTCTTGTTGTCCCTTGAAGATATTTATCTTTCTATTTTGATTTTTTTTGTCAAAATGCTTTTACCCTTATCTGAAAATGTAATTAATGGGAAAATGAAATTTTATGATTTTTAAAAATAATCACAGTTTTAAACCATTATAATTATTCACAATTGAATACCATTATTGATATGTGTATTTTTATATATATTTATGTACAACATATCTTAATATTTTAGCATTTATTATTATTATTTAGAACTAAAATAAACTTAATATGCTTTGAAATATTTAATTACAGTTAAAATGGGAAATGGAATGCAAAAGAAAGAGAATGGAGCTGAAAAGATGCAAAAAGGATATTGCTGGCAGATTGATCCCTCTTCAATGTTTCGGGTATATCTGATGACTCATAAGTCCAATTGACGAGATTCAAAATGTTCTGAAAACTAGACGAAATTTCCTACGACTTATGTGTGAGGGACTTTTGGCTAATTCGACACTTATCTTATCCAAAATCGGGCTTGAAGATGAAGCATAAAAGCTGGACGGACATTCCCTCCAAGTTACTTATTCCCCAAGCATCACTTATCTTATTTTTATTTGCTTAATCCCTAAGCCACCATTAGTTTCCTTATTCCAATCCAACTCTAATATTCCATATAAATTCCATCTCCATCAACTATAAATACCCCATATAATTCCACCAATTTGAAGAATCTATGATATTCCACTTCGACTTGTGCAACAAGAAAACTTCATAGTTTCCGTTTTGAGGGTCTAGGAGGTGGCTGGAAGGCCGTTAAGCTAACGGGAGCGGAGATCGGAAGGATTGGAGAGCGGATTCATGTCGGTAATCATGTGGTTTGTTAACGTGACCATGTTTAGCATTCCATTGTGACTATTATGTATGTTCAGTTTCTGATTTAGGTGTAAAAACCTTTTACTTTTTGTTTATGATTGAATGAAACCTTGATTATTGGACTAATTGCTATATTGAATTGTTTGTTTATGTTTAATTTATCTTGACAAGCTTGTTAAAAGATCCTTATGTGTTAATGATAATTATTTGCTGTTAATTGTCAAGTAAATTAAGTTGTATGAACATATGCTTGATTGCTTGTCTCTTATGATTTTGATGACCATCAAGATTATATGTCTAGGAATAACGAATGTGAAACTAGGATTAACTCGGAAATAAGTAAGTTAATGTGTGAGCCTTGTTTGATGACCATCAACAAGAGGTTAATTGAATGCCTAATTTGATTAACTATATTTGCAAGTCTTGCTTGATACGAACTGAACACTAGGAAGCATGTTAGTTTAACCAATTGATCACTGTTTGAATTGACTTGTTTGCTAAAGGATTAGTTATAGTGAACGTGAATCTAATCATTTTAGGAATCGGTGAACATGAATAAATGAATTTGTGTATGCAATTGTCTATGTTTGTAAGGTGAAATTTGTCTAAACCAAAGTACCTGAAGAGATTTGTTTCCCTGTTAGTTTATCGAGAATGGTTAATTAATTATTAGTTTGAGATTTATTAAACTATTTCTTTTATTCTTTTCGTGTGACCTGTAACCTATAATCAAATATATTAAATTAATCCACTGTTCCCTGTGATCGACACCCGACTTACCTAAGCTATACTGTAATCTGACTAGGTACACTGCCTATAAGTGCATAGTTAGTCTAAGTTTGTTAGGTTATAAATATTAAAATTAATGGGTACTTCCGTGTGCACATCAATTATCTTAAATTTATAAATCTATAAAATCATTAATATATTTTCACATTATAAACTTCAACATTCATAATTCAAAATTATTATTACAATGTCAGTTTAAAACTATTTTTATATTCAAATCTATAAAATCTCAAATTCACAGTTTAACACAGTGATACTATTTAAAAAAAATTAAGTTATAACTTATAACATAATAACCATCTAATACTTTTTCATTTTTGCAAGTTTTTTGAATTTATTTATTTTTTATACTGTATTTAGGGTTTTACCTTTTTTTATGACGGTTGCTTTGTTTGTAGGTTCAGATTCGTCTGTTGAAATCATCCTCTTCAATGTTTGTTCTTTTTCAGACGTAGTTTTGATCGTTGTGAATTGAGCTTCTTTAGC